TATAGTCAGCCCTTTATACCCATGGTTGCTTCACATCTGTGGTTCTGCATCAACCAACTGCAGATCATGTAGTACCATAGTATTTACTACTAAAAAAATCTGTGTATAAGTGGACCCATGCAGTTCAAAGTCATGTTGTTGAAGGGTCAACTCTATACACACACTGTATATATATATATATATATATATATATATATATATATGAAAAGATGTGGTGAAGTGCCTAGCACAGTACCTGGCATGTAGTAAGTGTTCAGTAGATGGTGTTATTATCCCATTTGCACCTATGGCTATGTCCGTCACACAGAGATACTCTCAGGTATCTCTCTCCCACCCCACACCCATCTCTTGTGCTCTAGACTGGTATTTTCCCAACTGGCTGTGGAACATCTCTACCCTGATGTTTTGCAAATGGCTCAGACTCTTGTTCAAAACTGAACTGTTTGCTTTTCCCCAATACTTGCTCTTCATGTATTCTCTGTCTCAGTTAAAGCATCACCATTCAGGTGTGACTTTTTGGACTCTCTCTTTTTGTCACTGCCTACCTCCTGTCAGTTATCTCTGACTTATTTCTGCTATTTGTCCTTTCTAACTGTACTGCTTCAGTTTAGTCTCTTATCTTTTCTCACTTGTATTATTGCCTGAATGCTCCTCTTTCTGTCCCATATTCTACTCTGTGTCGAGTGACCTTCTTAAGATACGAGTCTCACAGTTTCACTTTCCTGTTCCAAAACGTCATGCTTTCCTGTTGAAGTTCTTTAAGCCTTAAATTTAAGTGCTGGTAGGTCTTGTGCTGACCTGTTTCTCCATCATCATCACCTGCCACTGACGGCTCTGTCTACACACTAATTTGTTTACTGGCTATTCCTCCAAGATACCATATGCCTTCAGGCTCTTCCTTTTTTTTTTTTTTTTAATTACCTCTCACTAGGATACCCTTCTACTCTTCTTCAGTTGGCAAACATCCTTAAAGGACCAGCCAAATGTCTTCTTTCCTCTTGATCTTTCCCTGATAACCTCATCCTTCCATCCTGTTGCTCCTGTGCATAGATAATGTTTTTTAACACTTCTCCATTGTTGCAGTAATCATTTTGTATTATAGTTATTTACATGCGTGTAATTGCTGGGCTTGGACAATGCCTGGCAGATAGTAGGGACTCAAAAAATGTTGGTTGATTTGAATAAATGAATGCATAGAATGACAAGGTCTAGAAGGATCTTGTGAGATGGAATCTAACAAGTTAAAATTTATTAAAGGTAAATATGGATCAAGAAAGCCAGTTATGGGCTTCCCTGGTGGCACAGTGGTTGAAAGTCTGCCTGCCGATGCAGAGGACACAGGTTCGTGCCCCGGTCCGGGAAGATCCCACATGTCGCGGAGCGGCTGGGCCCATGATCCATGGCCACTGAGCCTGCGCATCTGGAGCCTGTGCTCCGCAATGGGAGAGGCCACAGCAGTGAGAGGCCCGCGTACCGCAAAAAAAAAAACAAACCAGTTATTACAAGAATGAAGATGGAAGAGATTGGTTTAACAGCAGAATGTGTTAAAAATTAGGGGTTTTGCTTGACAGCTCAGTACAAGTCAGCAATTTGAGGTGGTAACAAATAAAAACAGGAAAGAAAGAAAAGAATGTGAAATATCTTAAATGAGGAAGCTGAGTGTCTGAGTTTATACACAGAGTATTGTGTTTGGCTCTACGTATCATGATTTTATTGGGATTTAGGCTAGAATAACAATAATTATTGAAACTATTTTGTTTTTAATGTTTTTTGATAAAAAATTACCAAAATAGAGTGAGAAACCACTAGCTAACATTATCAAGGAAAAAGGGAGAAAGCAATGACAATGAAGGAATTCCCTGGTGGTCCAGTGGTTAGGACTCTGCACTTCCAATTGCAGGGGACATGGGTTCGATCCCTGGTCAGGGAACTCAGATCCCACAAGCTGCATGGTGTGGCCCTGCATGGGGTGGCCAAAAAAAAAAAAAAAAAGAAAAGAAAAATAGAAAAGAAGAAAAGAAAAATAGAAAAGAAGAAAAGAAAGAAATGACAATGATAAAGAAGCCATTGAAACAGATAAAAAAGTATAGAAGATTTTGTGGGCCTCTATGCAAATACATTTGAAAACTTCAAGGAAATGGATAATTCCCTGAGGAAATACAGATTACCAAAATTGATAGAGGTAGAAAGTTTAAACAGACCAATTTCTGTTGAAGAAAACAAGAAACTTATTGTGAAACTGCTTCTTAAAAAAAGCAGTAGGCCCAGATTATTTCACAGGGAAATTCTACCAAACCTTCAAATATCAGATAGTTTCAGTGCTCTATAGATTATTTTAAAGGATTGAAAATGAAGGGAAGTTTCCCACTTCCTTTTATGAAGCAAGTATAACATTGATATCTATACATGATAAAGTTGTTACAAAAAAGAAGACAATTATTCATATTATTTATGAATATCCAAAAAAAAGTACAAAATATATAGTACTAATATAATACTAATAAATATTTTCTTAACAAACAGAATCCAACACTACATTAAACATATAATTCACTATAATTAAGTAGGATTAATTCCAAGAATGCAAGATAAGTTCATTATTTGGAAATCCATTACTGTCATATACCATATTAATAGATCTCAAGAAAAATAATCATAATCATAGTCATAATCATAATCTTCTCCATAAATGCTAATAAAATGTTTGTCAAAATTCAACACCCATTCCCCATAAAAATACTCAAGATAGTAGGACTTGAGGGATACTTTCTTAACACGATTTTGTACATATATATATATATACACACATACATACATATTTATATATGTATTTTATATATACATATATTTATATATGTTAGTCTATGTGTGTGTATATATCTACATATATATACACGTATATATCTACACACAGATATAAATTAATATATTTTCATTTTAGTCCTAAAACCAGTAATATTAATTGGGAAACATTACAAGTTTTTTTCTAAAGCAGAAACAAGAAAGGATGGCTACTATCTTCACTTCTATTTAACCAGATGTAGCCAATACAATTCAACTAAAGAAATTAATTAGAGGCACACGGATTAGTAAAGTAAACCTGGAAAGCAGCAGAGAATTAATGACAATATAAACAAAAGGTGAGGTAAACAGGATGTAAAATTAACATACTGAAATCACTAGCTTTCATATACACAAATAATAACCAGTTAGGGGGCATAATGGTACGAAAAAACCTCATTTAAAATAGCAACAAAGAAGAGTAAATGCTCAGAAATGAGTTTAACAAGAAATGTGCAAACTTTCAAACACTCCTAAAAGACACAATTAAATAGAAAGATCCTCTGTTCTTGAATAGGATGGATGATTCAACATCACAAACATGTCAGTTCTCCCTAAGTTAATTTTTAAATTTAATACAATCTTAATAAAAATTCCAGTTTTCAAAGGAAGTTAGACAAATGAATACTAAAGTTCATGTGGAAAAATAAATATGCAAGAATAGTCAAGAAAACACTAAGAAAGAAAATTCTCAGAGAGGGGTGGGGACTAACCCTATCAGATGTTAAAATATACTATAAAGACTCTATAATTAAAACATTGTGATATTGATGCATGAATGGACAAATAGACAAGTGATACAGAATAAAAAGCCCAGAAATGGACCCAAGAACTTACAGAAATTGAGTTTATAAACTCAATAAAATTGAGGGAGAAGGCAGTTTAAACATCCTCTCATATCAAAAATGATAAAATTATAAAGATATCATCTCAAATCACTGCATAAAGAGGACCTTAAAAAAAAACCCTTTATTTCCTGCAGTTAAAAAAAAATTGTGGTAAAAAACACATAAAATTTGCCAACTCAACCATATTTAAATGTACAGGTTAGTGTTGTGAAACAGATCTTCAGAACTTTTTCATCTTGAGAAACTGAAACTCTATACCCATTAAACAATAGCTCTCCATTTCCCCCTCCCCTGAGCCCCTGGTAACCACCATTCTACTTTCTGTTTCTGTGAATTTGACTACTTTAGATATCTCATGTAAGTGCTATCATATAGTATTTGTCTTTTGTGACTGGCTTATTTCATTTAGATGGTGTCCTTAAGGTTTATCCATGTTACAGCATGTGACAGAATTTCTTTCCTTTTTAAGGCTGTATAATATTCCATTGTATGTTAAATTTTGTTTATCCCGTTTTTTAGCTGATGGATGCTTGGGTTGTTTCCACCTTTTGGTTACTGTAAATAATGCTGCTGTAAGATGGGTGTACAAATATCTCTTTGAATCCCTGCTTTCAAGACCGTAGCCTTTTAAGACAAGCCTTTAAGAGAAGACCAAGCCTTTTAGCTTGTTATTCATGCTGAAGGCATTAAGCATTCAATCTGTCAAGCATATGAGAGAAAAGACTAAATAATATTAAATGCTTTTAAAAGCAAAGCACAAACTTTTCCTTACAGCGTTTTGATGTTCCATCATTTAGATACATCATTTCTATAGTGTAATTATATGGACAAAAATGATTATCCAGTAAGGATAGTCATCTTACTTGCTTACTTTAGCATAGTTTTGATAAATTTGAAAAAATTTTAAATAAATAGAAAATGTAATATGTATAAGATATGAAGATAACTATCTCTAAAAGTTTTGGAATCCATTTTAATTTGAGAAGTGTCAAGCATTCCATATGATGATATCTTGGCTATAGGTTAAAGACAGAATTATCTTAGGCGTCACCAGCTTAGGGTTTTTCTTTAGCCCTCTGATGTGTGAGCTTTTTGAGAAGGGGTAAGGGTCAAGAGAATGTAAGTTGCTCTTTCATTGTTGTACTCCAGGATGTACTCAAAAGCTATCAACCCTTAATTTCAAGTTCTTTGACTGAGCAGGTTCTGCTGGGAACCCATCCCATTTCCTTATTTCTGTATTTGAAATCTCTCATTTTGACCCCATGTTTATCTTCCTAATATTTATTTTTCTATTTTTGCTCCTGTTTAAAGGTACAATCACTGGTTTGATGGAATGGCTTTACTTCACCAGTTCAAGGTGGAGAAGGGCACAGTGACATACAGGAGCAAGTTTCTACAGAGTGATACATATAAGGCCAACAGTGTTCATGATCGAATTGTGATCTCAGAATTTGGCACATTGGCTCTCCCTGATCCATGCAAGAATGTTTTTGAACGTTTCATGTCAAAATTTGAACCGCCTGGTAAGCAGCCTTTAATATGCTCAGAATTTGCAGGGGATAGTGATGATTCTTTAAATTATTATGATATATGTCAAGCTATATAAATATGAATATTGAAATATACATATTTTTGATATAAGAGGATGTTTAAACTGCTTTCTACCTTGAGAAAGTTGTGGTGTTTTAATAACTCTGGGGTTTGATTTCAGCAATTACTGACAACACCAATGTCAACTATGTGCAGTACAAGGGTGATTACTACATTAGTACGGAAACCAACTTCATGAATAAAGTGGACATTGAAACCCTGGAAAAAACAGAAAAGGTAAATATAGGTTAAAAATGAATATAGTAAACCCTAAAATTTCTCTCCATTCAAAATACTTTGTAGAGTAGCTAATATCCAAAGAAAAAATTGGATCCTTAAACAAAATCAAAGTTACCCACTGATTCACATCATTGTGTACCCTCTGTCCTGGTTAGAATGGCCTGTGGGGTTGGGGTTTTCCTTAAAGATAGTTCTAGACTTCTTCCTTAGTCCTAATGTCTGAAGGCTAGGACGAAGGAGAAATAGAGTAGTACAGACTTATTTTTTTTAATCTTTTTTTTAACATCTTTATTGGAGTATAATTGTTTTACAATGTTTTAGTTTCTGCTGTATAACACAGTGAATCAGCTATATGCATACGTATATCCCCATATCCCCTCCCTCTTGCATCTCCCTCCCACCCTCCCTATCCCACCCCTCTAGGTGGTTGCAGAGCACCAAGCTGATCTCCCTGTGCTGTGCAGCTGCTTTCCACTAGCTAGCTATTTTACATTTGGTAGTGTATATATGTCCATGCCACTCTCTCACTTCATCCCAGCTTATCCTTCCCCCTCCCCATGTCCTCAAGTCCATTCTCTACATCTGTGTCTTTATTCCTGTCCTGCCTCTAGGTTCATCAGAACCATTTTTTTTTTAGATTCCTTATATATGTGTTAGCATACGGTATTTGTTTTTCTCTTTCTGACTTACTTCACTCTATATGACAGACTCTGTGTCCATCTACCTCGCCAGAAATAACTCAGTTTCATTTCTTTTTTTTTTTTTTTTTTTTTTTTTTTTCAGGCCTCTCACTGTTGTGGCCTCTCCCGTTGCGGAGCACAGACTCCAGACGTGCAGGCTCAGTGGCCATGGCTCACGGGCCTAGATGCTCCGCGGCATGTGGGATCTTCCCGGACAGGGGCACGAACCCATGTCTCCTGCATCGGCAGGCGGACTCTTAACCATTGCGCCACCAGGGAAGCCCCAGTTTCATTTCTTTTTATGGCTGAGTAATATTCCACTGTGTATATGTGCCACATCTTCTTTATCCATTCATCTCTTGATCCATTAGGTTCATATGACCCAGCAATCCCACTACTGGACATATACCCTGAGAAAACCATAATTCAAAAAGAGTTGTGTGCCACAATGTTCATTGCAGCACTATTTACAATAGCCAGACTTATTTTTGCCAATTCATTTTCTACCTAGCTACAGGTAGAACTGGACTGGAGATTATCTAGACCCATACTGCCTTCACGTTACACATTAATTAAAGATAAAATAAAACTTTGGGCCAGAATTTTAATTTTAATTCTTATTCTTTTGATCTTTCCTGTGATCTTGTGCAAAATAAAAAATTCGTACTGGATAATCATTTTTGTCCATTTTTTGTTTTTGTTGGTGGTAGAGTTTTTGTTTGGTTTTGTTGTTCTTTGGTCTTACTTTCTTTTTCTTTAGTAGGAAAAATAATTTTGATTTCTCAGAGGTGAGACATTAGGGCTTAAACTGTAGTTTTTATATCTTATTTTAAAAATATTTGACACAGCCCTACTGTCTATGCGTCTAAATAGAGATCTTCTCATGTAATATTTAAGTCTCTGTATGGTCTTAAATTTGCAGGTAGACTGGAACAAATTTATTGCTGTGAATGGAGCAACTGCACATCCTCATTATGACAAAGATGGAACAGCATACAACATGGGGAACTCCTATGGGCAACATGGTAAAGTTGGGATGGGGGTCTTTTGAAAAATAATTGAGAGTTAACTATCTTCCCACAGTTCCATTATGGCCAAGATGTTAACATATATGAAACTTCATTTGAAAGGTTCTGAAAGAAATCTCTGAAGTAGCATTACTGAACTTAAAATATATAATTTATAATTAAGTTCTGTGGTCTTTTTGCACATATGCTTGGAAGCTGATTTTCTATTTGATCTTTTCAGCGTGACTCACATTTTTATGTTCCGTAATGCTTTTTGGCTTCCAAGCATTGTAGGGATGAGTAGTGTATTTCTCAAACTTGAAATTTTAGGAAGTACCATATTGTAAGTATAAGAAATTTAGAATGCTACAGCAAAGAGATATAGAGAAGGTATACTGTATGTTACATAGGAAGGAATTCATTATTACCATGGGAGTAAAACACTACAAAGTAAGTTAAGGTTAAAATTTGGTTGCATTCACAACCACTTATATCACATCTCTTTCCTGGTCATCCATATACTTCCCCAGCTGCCTGTTATTCTGTTCCAGAAGGTTCTAATGGCTAATAACGATAACCAGCATTTATTGAGTGCCTAGTATGTGCTGGTGTTAACCGTATTTTCCATATATTTTCTCATTTAATCTTTATGAAAGTCTCTGAGAAAGGTACTATTATTTTTATTTTTTAAAAATTGAAATATAGTTGATTTACAATGTTGTGTTAGTTTCTGGTATACAGCAAAGTGGATCAGTTACATATATATGTATATATATATTCTTTTCCATTATGGTTTATTACAAGATATATATCGAACATAGTTCCCTGTGTCATACAGTACAACCTTGTTGTTTATTTTATATATAGTAGTTTGTATCTGCTAATCTCAAACTCCTAATTTATTCCCCACCCCTTTCCCCTTGGGCAACTGTAAGTTTGTTCATTTGTATCATGTTTTAGATTCCACATATAAGTGATATTGTATGATATTTGTCTTTCTCTGTCTTACTTCACTTAGTATGATAATTTGTATGTCTATCCATGGCATTAAGAAAGGCTATTACCCCCATTTTATAGACAAGGGCAGTGAACCTTGAGAAGATTTAAGATGCTTGCTTAGGCAAGCTTCGAGTGTCTAGTCTGAGTAACACACAAAAACTTGCTACTAGTCACTCCATTAGATCATCTTAATTATTCATCACTGACTACAGAGGATTCTCTCAGGGCATGCACATTCATTATCCTGTACCCAAGTACACATCTCTCTCTGTTTGAAAAGGAATGTGTAAGTATAAGCATTAGAAGTTTCTGACTATCTTAGCTGTCATTCTGTCATCTATAACCTACGAATCTTTTTTTTTTTTTTTTCATTAGAAGTTTCTGACTATCTTAGCTGTCATTCTGTCATCTATAACCTACGAATCTTTTTTTTTTTTTTTTTGCGGTACGCGGGTTTCTCACTGTTGTGGCCTCTTCTGTTGCGGAGCACAGGCTCCGGATGCACAGGCTCAGTGGCCGTGGCTCACGGGCCCAGCCGCTCCGCGGCATGTGGGATCTTCCCAGACCGGGGCACGAACCCGTATCCCTTGCATCGGCAGGTGGACTCTCAACCACTGCGCCACCAGGGAAGCCCTACTACGAATCTTTTGTATGGGTTAACTTTTGAATAGGTTAATATATACCTTTGGTAAGTAATTGACTTTGTGGGTTGTTCATCTCTACCTCTCCATATTTACACGTATGAGGGTATATGAAAATGAATACTGCAGGTTTGCTTTTTACCAGCTCAAGAAGAGTTAGGGTACCCTGGAAACTTCATCACTCAGCCCTCTCTCTTCTTTGTTACCTGACCTCGGGTTGGGATGTATTCTTCAAAGCTGCTATAGGAGACAGCAAACATCTTTTTAGGTAAAATCTTTCAGCAAATGCATAAACTGACTCAGCAGTATTTTGTCCATGCATCTTTTTTGATCATAAAAAAAATTCATTTCTTAATAAATTAACTCTAATACCCAAGTAGATAACTTTGTAACTAGTTCATAATATGAGAAATACTGTTTAACCATTGTTAATTATTTTTCTAAAATACATAGTCATTAGATCAGTGATTCTCAGCCTTTAGAGAACCTAAAAACCATCTGGAATGCTTCCTAGCAATGTAGATCACTGGGCTTCATCTTCAGAGATTCTGGTTCACTAGACTTGAAAAAGGATTAAGAATCTGCATTGTAACTACACTTTCACTCCTTATCTTGGTACATTTTAACAAGATCTCCAGGTGATTTTGGTGCAAGTGGCCCATGAATCTTTGAGGAACCTTGCCACCAATCATCAGAGGCTGTGCTTGTTATTTTGCCTCAATTTGATGTTTATACAAAGTCCTGAAGAGTGTCCCAGAGTTAGGCTCACAGTATTGGGCAGGTCATTCCTCTAGGCATTCAGTTCTCTGCTGGGTGTTTCCTGGGTGTCTGTCTGCTTTGCTCATGCCTTCAAGACTTGAAGTTAAGACAGTTCATTAACTAGCAGTGTTCAAATTTAGTGAATTGAGTAATTGTCACTTAATCCAATTGCTGAGACAGAAAATTTTTCTCTTGATCTTCTAATCTCAACTAAAACTGGATTTACTTCTTCTTTCTTACTTGATTATTTGGTTCAGTGAGGAATTTTTAAACTGGAACGCAAATGTACATGTAGCTGCAGGGAGCTCTACTAGATAGTATGCATTTGGGGGAAATTTAGTGATTTTCTTTGTAAATAAAGTGCTTGCTAATAATTTCTACCTTTCCAGGTATTTTTAAAAAGGCTTTTAAAATTAAAAAAATCCTCTAAACATTAATCCAGTTAGTTTTAAGTACTAATTTAAAATACATAAACAGTTAGATAGTAGTATGATACTCTTGGAACTCTAGAGTTTGTCTTTCATTTCTTTTATAACTCATCACTGTATAAAGCATGGTGTTTTATTTATAATTGGTTCTCAAAACATATAATGTCCTAACCTAGACCTCCCCATCAGTTGCTTACTCAGTGTTTTTACTAAGATGTCTGATAGATGTTACAAAATTAATTTTTTTAAAACCAAACTCTTGATCTTTCCCCCTAAACTTTCTCTGCTTAAAATGTTCCCTATGTCAGGTGATGGTAACTCTGTCCTTCCACTTGCTTAAGATGATAATTTTGGAATCATTTTTTATACCTCTCTCACATCCACATCTAATGGGTCAAAAAGTAATTTCAATAATGCCTTCAAAATATATCAAAAATCCGACTACCTCATATCACCTCCATTGCCACCACTCTGGTTTAGGCCACCATTCTTTCTCATTTGAATTATTGTAGTAGCTTCTTAACTAGTCTCCTTACTTCTCCCCTTGCCCCACTTCAGTTTATTCTTAGCATATCAGCCAGTTATCCTTTTAACCCACCCCACCACATCTAGAATTTTCACTTTGCTTACTATGGATAGGGCCACACTGGCCTCATTGCTCTTATTTGAACACTCCAAACTTATTCTTGGCTGAGAATCTTTGCATCTGATCTTCTCTCCACCTGAAATGCGTTTCTCCCAGATATCCTCAAGGCTCTCTTCCTCACTTCTTTCAGGTCTTTACTCAAATGTCACCTTCTTAGTGAAACCTTCCCAGACCACCATAATTAAAATTACAAACAGTAGCCCCCATCCTTATACACTCACTTCTACTCCCCATTCCCTGGTTTATTTCTCAATATAGTTCTTCTCATCATCTGATGCATTATATTTTTACTTATTGTATGATTTTTTTTTAGAATTTGAACTTTATAAATGAAGAGCCTTTTGTCTATTTTGTACACTGCTGTATACAAGTGTCTAGGATATGGTACTTAGGACTCTTACAAGAGTGCCTAGAACATAGTTGACACTCAGTAAGTAGCTGCTGATAATGAGTAGGGAACTGTATGTTTATCTTGTTCCAAAGGAAGCTTAGTGATTGTGAAGTTCTATAAGTTACCTAAGTTCTTCAGGACTTACATTGGCACTTCTAACACTAGGAAGGTAATTCAATATGACCTCAATATTTGTTCATTCATTGAGTGATTTAACAAACATATATTGTTAGTTAACCTGTTAGTAGTTATTTATAGTGTACCTACTAAATGCCAAGTCATTGTTTGGTACTGAAGATGCAAAGATGTATCAGACACAATTCCTGCTCCAGAAGAGCTCAGTCTACTAGGAAACAGATAAATAAGCAGAAAATTATAGTACAATGAGATAAGTACTATGACAGTATAGGATATAATTAAAGCATAAAGGAGGGACACCAAATGCCTTTGGGTGGGGAAGAGTCAGGAAAGGCTACTTGAGGAGTGGGTAACTGAGTTCATTCTTGAGGAAGCAGTAACAGTCAGATGAATGATTGCATGAATGAATGTTGATGAGACAGGATGAGATGGGACCCAAAGTGACCCCAGGGATCTAGAACACTGAAAGGAAGGAGTTGGACATGGGTACAAATGGAGATTATAGTCTTTGGAGCTGGGGAGTGGGAAGAAAGACAAATAGACTTTGCGGATATTCCTGGCTGCTACCTTATCATTTCCTATGAAGATAGGATTGAGTTCATCTTCAGAGAGCTAGAGGGGAACCGTCTGTGGACATTAAAATACAATAGCTGAAGGCAAGAATATACAGTGGAGAAAAGACAGCCTCTTCAATAAGTGGTGCTGGGAAAACTGGACAGGTACATGTAAAAGTATGAAATTAGAACACTTCCTAACACCATACACAAAAATAAACTCAAAACGGATTAAAGACCTAAATGTAAGGCCAGACACTATCAAACTCTTAGAGGAAAACATAGGCAGAACACTCTATGACATACAGCACAGCAAGATCCTTTTTGACCCACCTCCTAGAGAAATGGAAATAAAAACAAAAATAAACAAATGGGACCTAATGAAACTTAAAAGCTTTTGCACAGCAAAGGAAACCATAAACAAGACCAAAAGACAACCCTCAGAATGGGAGAAAATATTTGCAAATGAAGCAACTGACAAAGGATTAATCTCCAAAATTTACAAGCAGCTCATGCAGCTCAATAACAAAAAAACAAACAACCCAATCCAAAAATGGGCAGAAGACCTAAATAGACATTTCTCCAAAGAAGATATACAGACTGCCAACAAACACATGAAAGAATGCTCAACATCATTAATCATTAGAGAAATGCAAATCAAAACTACAATGAGATATCATCTCACACCAGTCAGAATGGCCATCATCAAAAAATCTAGAAACAATAAATGCTGGAGAGGGTGTGGAGAAAAGGGAACACTCTTGCACTGCTGGTGGGAATGTGAATTGGTTCAGCCACTATGGAGAACAGTATGGAGGTTCCTTAAAAAACTACAAATAGAACTACCATATGACCCAGCAATCCCACTACTAGGTATATACCCTGAGGAAACCAGAATTCAGAAAGAGTCATGTACCAAAATGTTCATTGCAGCTCTATTTACAATAGCCCGGAGATGGAAACAACCTAAGTGCCCGCCGTCGGATGAATGGATAAAGAAGATGTGGCACATATATACAATGGAATATTACTCAGCCATAAAAAGAAACGAAATTGAGCTATTTGTAATGAGGTGGATAGATCTAGAGTCTGTCATACAGAGTGAAGTAAGTCAGAAAGAGAAGGACAAATACCGTATGCTAACACATATATATGGAATTTAAGAAAAAAGAATGTCATGAAGAACCTAGGGGTAAGACAGGAGTAAAGACACAGACCTACTAGAGAATGGACTTGAGGATATGGGGAGGGGGAAGGGTAAGCTGTGACAAAGTGAGAGAGTGGCATGGACATATACACTACCAAACGTAAAATAGATAGCTAGTGGGAAGCAGCCGCATAGCACAGGGATATCAGCTCGGTGCTTTGTGACCACCTAGAGGGGTGGGATAGGGAGGGTGGGAGGGAGGGAGACACAAGAGGGAAGAGATATGGGAACATATGTATATGTATAACTGATTCACTTTGTTATAAGGCAGAAACTAACACACCATTGTAAAGCAATTATACTCCAATAAAGATGTTAAAAAAAAAGAAATATGGGTGTCATGCATATTGTATAAATCTCTTAACTGCTTTTGCCTAGTTCACAAGTGCAAGGCTTATCTTTTTTCTTAAAATGAATGTAAAACAGTGAAGACAGGACTTTCCATTTTCCAGGTTCTTGCTATAATGTTATTCAGGTTCTCCAGAGAAAGTAGACCTTGGGGAGACAATCCATGGAGCCCAGGTGATATGTTCTATTGCTTCTGCAGAGAGGATGAAACCTTCTTACTACCACAGCTTTGGTAAGCCCGAAGATAAGGCAAATTTTAATGGGGGCTGCCTTAAAGTTACTGTTGCAGAGGGACTAATTTTGGCAAGTACTGTGTTAATACAGTTTATCAGAGTATGGTGATAAGAGACGAAGGTTGCATTTTAATGCCAATTAAGTTCATTCTGTTTAGTCACGTACTTCTTACCCTAGCCAACTGACTGATTGAAAAGATATTTTAATACAAGCAATTACTAAAAAATTAATTGGAAACACCAATTAATTTGAAAGTTTTTAATTAATTGACTGCTCTAGGAAATAGTTGTCAGTTTAAGAAATCATCGGTCCCTTCCCAGCACATTGAGTCAGGCTGAGATTTAGTCACCCAGCACTAACTCCACCTCAGTTCTCTATGGAGAACAGCCTCTCCCTTCAGCCCCCTGCTCCAGGATGACACAATGAGTAACCCCTAGTCATAGAAATCAGTCTCTTTGTTTTGTTTTGTATTATGTTGTATGTCATTGAATATCTAAATACAAAGGAAAAAAATACATTTATGTATGTTTCCACAACAGAGACTATGGACTTTGGGTGATTGTGATGTGTCAATGTAGGTTCGTCAGTTGTAACAAATGGACCACTCTGGTGGAGGAAATTGATAATGTGGAGGCTGTGCATGGTTGGGGACAGGTGGTATATGGGGAATCTCTGTACCTTCCCCTCGATTTTGTTGTGAGCCTAAAACTGTTCCAAAATGTAAAGTCTTAATTAAAAAAATAATTTGACCATAAAAAATTGACAGAATTCAATATTTTAGGTAACTTTAAAGACCACAAATTATAATCATACAGTAAAGACCTTGATTATATTTTGGGGGAGGCAATTCATATTCCATGTAGATTGCTTCAACTTTTTCTCAGAATATTTATCTTCTGCATCCTAAACCTTTATAGCCAATCTGCTCCTGGATTGTTACCTCCAGTATAAATAGCAAAAGGATTAAGGAATACAGGTCCTTTAATATAATGCTTCTTTGTTCCTAAACCAAAACAATTTGAAAAGAAAGAAAGAAAGAAAAAGAAAAAAAGCAAGTTGAGGGCATTCAACCCAAGCTATTCTAAGCAGTTCCTGTTTTTATGTAGGAACAGAAAATATATATAGCAAAGCTGGGAAATGATGAAGAATTATTTCTGACTGGCATTTGTTTAGGTCAGCAGTAATGTGTCCAAGCCTTCAGACAAGTCCCCAAACTGTCACATTTCAGACAACTCTAGTTTGCCAAATAACATTTTATTGTTTGCTTGAACCTTTTAGGAATGACAAGGAACTACATTGTCTTCATTGAACAGCCTCTAAAGATGAATCTGTGGAAAATCATCACTTCTAAAATTCAGGGAAAGGCCTTTTCAGATGGAGTAAGCTGGGAACCCCAGTATAATACACGGTTTCATGTGGTGGATAAGCACACTGGTCAGGTGGAGAATTTTGAGTGTATTTATTGTGAAAATGATTGGACATGAAGGCAAATTTCCATGTGATTGACTTTTGCCTTCACTGGGCATTACTTGCATAAGACACTCTTAATCAAGGATATTACCTTCTTCCATAAGTAGGGCTAGTTATTTATTAATTAGTACAGTGGCTTTTGCATATTAGAAAATTGTAGGAAATGGTTTTATCCTTTAAATTATCTGATTCAATTAAAATGACATCTAGGAAATCCTTTTAGCATGGATTTTTCCATATAATATTTGCTAAAGAGGATATTGTTCATGCAGAGGTCTTCTGTAACTTTTGCAGTGATATTTTTATTAGCTGCTTCTATGATTTCTTGATATGTAAATATGATAATCCTACCAAAGTCTAAAGCATATTAGTTAAATATCTTTCTATATACTCCTGATTAATAGCACTGTTGTATTTGTCTACTTTTAAACCTCTCTAAAGAAATAGTATCCTAAATTTACTGTACCCTAATTTCATTACCAAAAAATCCCATTTTAGTAATGAGTGCATTTTTCAAAGGATTAGTCACTTAATTTATCATAAATTCTTTTTTTTTTTTTTTTTTTTTTTACTCTGAATTTAAAAGTATTACTTAGAATGCAAAGAACTGGAATTGTACTTTATGGTGTGAAGAATCATTCCAGTCCCTGCTTCTTTTTTTTTTTTTTTGTGGCACGCGGACCTCTCACTGTTGTGGCCTCTCCCGTTGCGGAGCACAGGCTCTGGACGTGAAGGCCCAGTGGCCATGGCTCACGGGCCTAGCTGCTCTGCGGCATGTGGGATCTTCCCAGACCAGGGCTCGAACCTGTGTCCCCTGCATCGGCAGACAGACTCTCAACCACTGCGCCACCAGGGAAGCCCAATCATAAATTCTTAATAGAAGTATTTTCTATTTAACCATGTAGTTAAGAGTCTAAGATTTATTTATCTTTCAAAATATTGGGCCATATTTCGTGAGAACTTTAAAGTTAGTTGAAACAGTTGATTGGTCTATATCAAATAGCCCCAGTTCATTGATTAATATGAGATGAGATGATTTTAAATCAAAGCATATTTGCTTCCACATTCCAAATTCTGGTTTTTATACCTACCAAGCCTGTCACTTAAAGAGGGGGAAATCTTCTTAATTTGAGCTTTGTGGATCTGTACCCTAAAGGAAATAAAATAAAATATCTATTTTTCACTGTTTGTGTTTTCCCCTGCAGCTTCTTCCAGGGATGTACTACAGTAAACCTTTTGTTACTTTTCACCAAATCAATGCCTTTGAGGACCAGGGCTGTGTTGTAATTGATTTGTGCTGTCAGGATGATGGAAGAAGCCTAGAAGTTTACCAACTACAGAATCTTCGGAAAACTGGGAAAGAGCTTGATCAGGTAAAATTCTCTGATTTGTCATGAGTTGTCAAAATATTTTTGATCTAGCCAAATTCTGGCTTTGGGTTTGGAATTAGCTGTTTCTCTTGCCTCTTTTGTAAATAAGGAAGGAGAATGGTTTTAAAGCATTGAAGATACAGCTTTGTAATTTATCTATTTAATATTTCAAAATTTGAAGTATGTATTTACATAATACCTAATAAATAAAAAATATGTTAAAGAAAGCCAAGAAATATGTTTTGAAGCGCTTGTGATTAGTTCCTTATTACACTTGGGCACTAAACATACTTACATTTCCTGGAAGGAATAGTGAAATGGACTATAATATTAATTCTTTGATTAAAAAAAAGTGTATCAGTTCATCTAGCTTGAAGGGATTTACTTTTTCCTGATAATCAGTTCAAGGCAGAAGTTTTCCTTGGATTACGTAATGTAAATTGTTTTCTGCTATAGTTTTATTTTAATTAATTCGTTAATTAATTTTTGGCTGTGTTGGGTCTTTGTTGCTGCGTGCGGGCTTTCTCTAGTTGTGGCGAGCAGGGGCTACTCTTCGTTATGGTGCACGGGCTTCTCATTGCGGTGGCTTCTCTTGTTGCGGAGCACGGGCTCTAGGCGCGCGGACTTCAATAGTTGTGGCTCGCGGGCTTAGTTGCTCCGTGGCATGTGGGCTCTTCCCAGACCCGGGATCGAACCCATGTTCCCTGCTTTGGCAGACAGATTCTTAACCACTGCGCCACCAGAGAAGTCCAGAGTTGCAATTTTCTGATTCTGTTTATGACCTTACTCAAAGTTTTGTGTTCTTTCGCCTTTTTGTTTCAGGTAGAAGAGCTCCTTTCAAACTTTCTTGAAAGGCAGGTTTAGTGGTGCTGAACTCTCTTAGATTTGTTTGTCTGGGAATGCCTTTGTTTCTCCTTCATATCTGAAGGATAACTTTGCTGGATAGAATATTCTTGGGTGACAGTTTTTATCTTTCAATATCTTGAGTAAGTCATTCTATTCTCTTTTGACCTGTAGAGTTTCTGCTGAGAAATCTGCCAGTAACCTAATGAGGGTTCCTTTGTAGGTTACTATCTTTTTTTCCCCTGGCTGTCTTTAAAATTTTTTCTTTGTCATTGACTTTTGACAGTTTTAACATAATGTATCTTGGAGAAGGTCTTTTTGCATTCAGATAATTAGGTGTTATCTTTGCTTCAGAGACTTGGATATCCAGTTGTCCAGGTTTGGGAAGTTCTCAGCTATTATTTCTTTAAATAAACTCTCTGCTCCTTTCTTCCGCTCTTCTCCTTCTGGGATACCCATTATCCTTATGTTACCCTTCCTAATGGAGTTGGATAATTCCTGTAGAAATCTTTCATTTGTTTAGACCTTAGTTCCCTCTCCTCTTCTGTCTAATTTCTAGCTTTCTATCTTCAAGCTTGTTAGTTCTCTCTTCCATATGGTCTGCTCTATTTCCAGTGCTTTCTAACGTGTTCTTCATCTCATTTACTGAATTCTTCAGCTCCAGAATTTCTGGTTGGTTATTTTTCATAGTTTCAGTCTCTTTGGTAAGGTATTTCTTCTGTTCATTTGTTTTATTTCTGAGCTCATTGAACTGCCTTTCTGAGTTTTCTTGTAGCTCATCAAGTTTCTTCAGGACAGCTATTTTGAATTCTCTATCGGTTAGATTGCAATATTCCATGACTTTAGGTTTGATTTCTGGAGATTTGTCTTTTTCTTTTTGTGATACTGTGTTACCATGTTTTTTTTTTTTATGGTGCTTAATGAGTTGATGTTGCCAGCACGTTTGAAGTAGCAAACACCTTTCTTCTTTAGGTAAAGCTTTTTTTTTTTTTACTAGATGCTAACAATTCAACAGGTTAGTTATTAGAGGCCTTTCTTTTGTTCATAAGTAGGTGGCACAAGTTTTTGGTTTCTCTTACTTGAGCTGTTTGTGGCTATATTTGAAAATCAGCACTTTCCACCCTCTACGACCTCTGTGAGAGGTGTTGCCTGGTGCCCTCCCTCTCAAACCTTATGCCTCCAGGGTCACTGGTGCTTTGCAGCTGCCGGTGTCACTGCTGCTGCTGTTGTTGCTGCCTCGGGCATCGGGGTGATGGGTACGTCTGTCATGTTGGGGTTGCCTGTGTTGCAGGCACTGCTGCTGTTGGGGGAAGGTGGTAGTGGGGGTAGCCAGGGTGTCTGGGGCCTCTGCTGTGTCTGGAGTTGTTGGGTTCCCAGGCACCACAGCTGTGGATAGGGGCCTGGGTCATGGCCACCTCCATGGCTGGAGGGGTCACAGGCCCTGCTGCCACTGTTGCTTGATTCCCTGTGGCTGTGGGTGCTGCTGCAGCCAGGAGGCCGGAGTCATGTGTGCTGCCTCCCCTGCTCTTACTGGGTTCTCTGGGGCTGCAGGCTCAGCTACTGTAGCTGGGAATCGGGATTATAAGCACCACCTATGCTTTCCTCTCAGTTCTGCCTCTTCAGTGTGCTCCAGTCCACCCACCTTTAGGTGTACAAATGTGTGGAACTCTCCAGCCTTTCAATGTGTTGAGCAGGTGAACCTTTCTTGAGTTAACATTATGTTATTGGTTGTAGACTGAAGGGGAGAGACAAAGGGAGCATATCATGCACTATGACGCTGATGTGTACAGTGTAACGCTGATGTGCTTATTTACTAATAATTTTTCTCATGAATGGATGTTGGATTTTAATGTATTTTTTGCACTGTTGAGATAATGACATGACTTATCCTTTCTTCTACAAATGTGGTGAGATACACTGATTAATTTTAAAACATTTATAATAGCCATTGATTGATTTTTGAATGTTAAACTAATCTTCTATTCCTGAAGTAAATCCCAGTTGGTTGCACTGTATTTTTAATATATTTCTGGATTTGCTTTGCTAATATCTTATTTAGCATTTTTTGGCATCAATTTCATGATTAAGATTGGCCTGTAATTTTTCTTTCTTATAATATCCTTGTCAGTTTTTTAAAATAGATTTAATTAATTAATTAATTAATTTTAATTTTTGGCTGTGTTGGGTCTTCATTGCTGCGCATGGGCTTTCTCCAGTTGCAGCTAGCGGGGACTACTCTTCATTGAAGTGCGTGGGCTACTCTTCGTTGCAGTGCGTGGGCTTCTCGTTGCAGGGGCTTCTCTTGTTGCGGAGCATAGGCTCCAGGCATGCGGGCTTCAGTAGTTGTGGCGTGTGGGCTTCATTAGTTGTGGTTCGCAGGCTCTAGAGCGCAGGCTCAGTAGTTGTGGTGCACAGGCTTAGTTGCTCTGCGGCATGTGAGATCCTCTTGGACTAGGGCTCAAACCCATGTCCCCTGCATTTGCAGGTGGATTCTTAACCACTGCGACCCAGGGAAGCCCCCTTGTTAGGTTTTGTTATTAAGGTTTCGCTGATCTCATACAATGAGTAGGAAATTGTTCTCTTTTCTACTCTCTGCATGAAAAGTATAAGATTGGCATTATTTCTTAAATGTTTGGAATAATTCAACAGTAAGATCATCTGGGCCTGTAAGTTAGTTTCTTTATAGGTAGATCTTAAATTATAAATTACATTTCTTTAATAGTACAGGTTTAGTCTGATTCTCTATTTCTTATTGTGTCAGATTTGGTAAATAGTCTTTTTCTAACAAATTTATTAATGCCATCTAAAATTTCAAATTTGTTGACCAAATGTTATTCTTGATATTCTATGTTTTAAAAAAATGTATGTAGGTTTAATTGATAGCCCCTGTTTTTATCCCTTATGTGGTTATTTTTGCTGTCTTTTTTGTTCCTTTAGGCTTGCTAGGTTCTCATCAATTTAATGAGGCTTTTCAAAAGGCCAACATTTTGGCTTAGTTGATCTTCTTTAATGTGTGTTTGTTTTCAGTTTCATCAATTTATGCTATTATTTTCATTTCCTTTTCTACTTTCTTTGTGCTTAATGTGTTCCTTTTCTAACTAAGGATATAAAACCTTAGTCTGTTATTTTTCTACCTTTCCCTCCTCAACATATATACCTTTGGGATGATAAATTTCTGTCTAGCAGAGCATCCCACAAGTTTTGATATGTTTTATTACTTTTCAGTTAAAGTATTTTCTAACTTTCACTGAGATTTCTTCTTTGAAAATTTTTTTTAAACTTTCAGACAAATGGAAATCTTTCTAGTTATTTTTCCCATTGATTTCTAGCTTAATTTTACTGTATGATTTGAAGTTTATGAAATTTATTGAGATTTGCTTTATGGCCCAGAAAAGATTATTTAAAAAAATGTTTTATGTGCATTTAAAAATAATGAATTTTGGATGTAGTGTTTTGTATATGTTGATTAGGTCATATTTTAAAATAATATTATTCAAATCTTCTTTATTCTTTTTTTTTTTTTTTTTGCGGTACGCGGGTCTCTCACTGTTGTGGCCTCTCCCGTTGTGGAGCACAGGCTCCAGATGCGCAGGCTCAGTGGCCATGGCTCATGGGCCTAGCTGCTCCGTGGCATGTGGGATCTTCCTGGACTGGGGCATGAACCCGTGTCCCCTGCATTGGCAGGCGGACTCCCAACCACTGCACCACCAGGGAAGCCCTTCTTTATTCTTATTGTTCTCTGTCAGTTATCATATAACATGAAATGTATATTAAAATCTTTTGCTTGGAGTATAGATTTTTCTGTTTCTCCTCATAGTTATGCTAATTTTAAATTTACATATGTTGTGCTCTGTGTACCTACAAATTTAGGATTGTTTCACCTTCCCGGTTTATTGAATATTTATCTCTAAGTAATGCTTTTTGTCATGATGTTTGCATGCTATAACTTTCCCATCCTTTTACTTTTAACCTTTCTAAATATGTACCATGTAAGCAACATATATTTAGAAAATCCATTGTGCTAATTCTTTCTTTTTTTTTTTTTTTTTGGCGGTACGTGGGCCTCTCACTGTTGTGGCCTCTCCCGTTGCGGAGCACAGGCTCCGGACGCGCAGGCTCAGCGGCCATGGCTCACGGGCCCAGCCGCTCTGTGGCATGTG